TCAAACTTGAACTACGCAAAGACATAGACCCCGTGGTTAGTGTGGCCCTATACAAGTGACGTCATGACGATTCATCAATGTCTTATGACGTCACCTTAAAGGTGTCTATTGTAAGAGTTTATATCTAGAGAACTGTGAGTCCGATTGGGTTAGAACTTGGTATGTACATAGATATGGACGTGTAACAGACCAAAACAATAGATGTCATTACTTCGTCATCATGGGTCTTGATACGTCATTAAATTTTAAGGTCCTGTATCTGGAGAACTCCAAGAACAGCTAAGTATTGTAATGGAACTATGTTCAAAGCAAAATATGTTCAAACAGTATACCACCCTCACCATGCCCCCTCCCCCAAATACATTAACACTTGATTTAAGATATTGTAACGAAAATGCAAGGCATAATTAGTTTCCAGTAAGCACACTTTATTCTTCACTCTGATAAAATACAGGTTTTTTTTCAAAAACTTAATTGATAAGACTTATGGAAGATAAGAAGATAAGTTTAAAGTTATCAACTTGTATTTCAATGAGAAGAATTCATGCCAATACAGTTGACTGTATATTGATAATAGGGCCTATGATAAATTAATGGTAGAATAACTGTGAAATGAGATGACTTATACAAGTTTAATTCATCGAAGCTTTCTAGGTCAAGATGCTATGATTATTGTGAATAAGAATAATATTTGGCGCAGTGGTTTATGACCAATCAGAGCATTGAAAGAGACATTTTGTCATGATGCGGTAGCTCCTTGCACTATGTACGCGCCCAAACGCTATAAAAGACTAGCCAAGTCAGGGCTCGGCATTCAGATCGTGATTGGTTCTGGTCCGGTGAGTGTCGTATGTCCATACATTTATGATACGTTCTGTGAGGGACACCAACTACACGTTCCATAAGTTACAGTGTGTATTGAACTGGCGGCGCCAATGCCACAAGTCCGTGTGAAGACTCGGTGAGTTCGTTCCATTATATACTGGTTTGAAAGGACCCATAAACACAACAGTAAGGAACTTCACCTAGAAGAAGGAGCGCATCGTGCTCAACGTTCGATTGCAATGCACATTGGCGCTTCGCCAGTATTGGAAGACAATAAAACCATTATTATTATTTGAAGAAGAACACGATCTCTCCAGTCAGAATTTTTGTCTAGTCTCTATAGTCATTTAGTACTTGAACCAGTAATTTCGCGCTCGTTACAATATCAAACTACTTTATTGTATCGAACAAGATTATATTTACCTTGTCTCTCCGACGTCAAGTTGTAATTGATATTAACTTACCTGGACTAACAATGATAGGGTTCTGGCTACCGCTGATTGTGCCGGCGGTTCCTATGCTGGCTCCACTGCTTTGTGGGTAATCTATCAAAACAAGGATTATAAGGGTTTATTAAACACATGTCTCGCACTTAAAAACTGAATTTTACATGTGAACATCATATATGATTTAAACAAAAAAAAACACTTATCGTACTAAAACATAATAATTTGTGATTAAAAACCAAATATTAAAAGCTTTGTTCATTTAATATAAAAAGCTTAACATTAAAAGTTATGCAATTGTACAGAATTGTATCTTGTTTTCCCATGGAATTTTCAATGTATGTTATTAGTTTTTGGCATAAAGTTTGCGTCTCCGTTGGGTTTTGTTGCCGAATACATATTTTTCAGTTTAACAGATGTTCTAGTTTTTATTTCCAAACATCTATTTTCCAGCAATAAACCAATTGTTTATTTTTACTTTTGAATGAATCATAACAAAAAATCCACTTATATTTAAAAATAATTACTTCACAAATTGTTAAGCATAATACGCATGCGTTAGTTGTTAACTGAATGGTTGTCGGACTTCACCTTTCAATTAAAACAACATATCCAAATTCAACTTTCAGGGAAAATGTAAAATTTCTCATCGATAAGTGGGCCTTCATATATCACTGATATGCCTACATCACAGACTTGTATTCGAGTCACCAAACCTCGAGTCCGAGTCCGAGTCTGAGTCACCACTACCGAGCCCTGACATTCTCCAAAGCCATTGAACTTGCCAAAACGCTTGAAACAGCCACAAAGGATCAGCAGGACATTAAGGCCACACCAATCGGCCAGACCAGACTCATAGTCCAGGTCAAGGGCAAAACTCAAAGCTTGCTGTTCCTCATCCTGCCTCAGGGAGAACCAGTCATAGGCAAGCATGCCTGTGACTCGCTTGGATTGGTCCACAGAGTCTACACTCTACTCAGCCATGAGAGTGTTTTTGAAGGGGGTGGATGTCTGCATGGACAAGCAGTTAGCAACAAGGTAGACGAAGCCACCACCCCTTACTGCGTCATGACTCCTCGTCGTATCCAAATTCCTCTCATGCCCTAACTGAAAGAGGAGCTGGAGAGGATGGAGCAATAGAACATCATTCAGCATATCACTGACCTCACAGATTGGTGCTCGCCTATCGTCAGGGAGAGGTTTACCATAACAACTGTCGAAGAAGTCCTCTGCAAAGTCGCTGGCGCCCAGATATTCTCCCTGCTAGACGCCAAACAAGGCTTCTGGCAAGTACCACTGACAGAGGAAAGCCAGAAGTTTACTACCTTCATTACACCATTCGGGCGTTACTGCTTTAAACGCCTTCCATTTGGCACCACATCGGCACCAGAAATATATCAACGCATCATGTGCGACCTTCTTACCGACATATCAGGGGTCGTGGTGTACATGGACAACGTACTGATCAACGATCGCACAACAGAAGAACACGATGAAAGACTCCAGCGCGTTTTCGAAATTGCGCAAAACGCTGTACAACGGCTGAACAAGGACAAATGCAAAATTGCCCAAACAAAGGTCGACTTCCTTGGTATGAAGCTCGATAAAGACGGCATCCATGCCGACCATGCAAAGATAGCGGCGATCATCCAAATGCCACCACCCACCACCAAAACCGAAGTCAAACGACTAATGGGAATGATTAATTGGCTCGCGCGGTTCATTCCCCATGTCTCCTCAGTCGCTGCACCAATAAATGACCTACTGAAGAGTGATGTCCGCTGGGTGTGGGGATCACCACAGCAGTCAGCTTTTTGCAGCATTAAGACACTTCTCACATCAGCTCCTTCACTCGCTTTCTGTGATCCAAATAAGCTGACCATGGTTAGCGCTGATACAAGCGAATACGGACTGGGTGGATGTATTCTGCAACAACAAAATGACAGACAGTGGAAGCCAGTGGCGTACTGCTCAAGAAGCCTCACTCCATCTGAACGACGCTACATGCAGATAGAGAAAGAGCTGTTGGCTTCGGTGTGGTCGTGCGAAAGGTTTTATGTATACTTTCGAGGCCTTCAAGTCACCATACAGACTGACCTTAAACCGCTGGTTCCACTTATCAACATTAAGGATCTGATCCTCTGCGAGCATTGCTGACCTACCGATCCACACCAATCTCAGGCCTCAACCTTAGAAGAAGGAGCGCGTCGTGCTCAACGTTCGATTGCAATGTACATTGGTGCTTCGCCTTATCGTTATCCACATATACATTAGATTATACGCATTGGGCACGGTGTGCCACCAGTATTGGAAGACAATAAAACCATTATTATTATTTGAAGAAGAACACGATCTCTCCAGTCAGAATTTTTGTCTAGTCTCTATAGTCATTACTTGAACCAGTAATTTCGCGCTCGTTACAATATCAAACTACTTTATTGTTTCGAACAAAATTGTATTTACCTTGTCTCTCCGACGTCAAGTTGTAATTGATATTAACTTCACCTGGACTAACAATGATAGGGTTCTGGCTACCGCTGATTGTGCCGGCGTTTCCTATGCTGGCTCCACTGCTTTGTGGGTAATCTATCAAAACAAGGATTATAAGGGTTTATTAAACACATGTCTCGCACTTAAAAACTGAATTTTACATGTGAACATCATATATAATTTAAACAAAAAAAAACACTTATCGTACTAAAACATAATAATTTGTGATTAAAAACCAAATATTAAAAGCTTTGTTCATTTAATATAAAAAGCTTAACATTAAAAGTTATGCAATTGTACAGAATTGTATCTTGTTTTCCCATGGAATTTTCAATGTATGTTATTAGTTTTTGGCATAAAGTTTGCGTCTCCGTTGGGTTTTGTTGCCGAATACATAATTTTCAGTTTAACAGATGTTCTAGTTTATATTTCCAAACATCCATTTTCCAGCAATAAACAAATTGTTTATTTTTACTTTTGAATGAATCATAACAAAAAATCCACTTATATTTAAAAATAATTACTTCATAAATTGTTAAGCATAATACGCATGCGTTAGTTGTTAACTGAATGGTTGTCGGACTTCACCTTTCAATTAAAACAACATATCCAAATTCAACTTTCAGGGAAAATGTAAAATTTATTTCATCGATAAGTGGGCCTTCATATATCACTGATATGCCTACATCACAGACTTGTATTCGAGTCACCAAACCTCGAGTCCGAGTCCGAGTCTGGGTCACAGAGGTCGAGTCCGAGTCCGAGTCACGAGTCACAAAGGTCGAGTCCGAGTCTGAGTCACACAAGTCTGGAACTTGCAATTATGCGACCCTTGACCGGGCAGTTGCCGAAACGATGCCATGGTGTTTGCGGTGGACTCTGAACTATATGAAGTTACTTCAAATCAAGCCATTTTGATTCAATCACGTGATGTTTTAACGCACTCGATACTAGTCTGCAGAAGACAGCTTTGTTTCCCGCCACATTCCAGTCTTGATGAGGCAGGAACCATACAGAAGCAAGTCTACCCGCAGATCGGATACACGTGTTCATGCGAAAAAAGGAACCCAAAGACAGTGCATTTTAGGGGAATCTTCAGCCAAAAACTAGAATTTGAAAACTTGTTCGGACAAAAAACCTTTTGAACCCATTTTAAAAACCAATTTATATATTATAATAGGAGGGTGAAAATTAAAGAAACCGCAAGCTCGAAGAAGAGCACAAATATTGAAATTGTAATTAATTGGATAAATCTTTACCTGATCTGCTTTCGCTCTCAGTAATCCTAGCGTGAACTTCTCTTCTCGGTTTCTTTCCTTTCAGCTTGCTATGTTCTTGAGCCCCTCCCACTTGAACCTCCGGTTCGGATTCGTCTCGATGAGCAACTTCCTCCTGTCTCGGTCTCTGGTCCTCGGATGATGTAGTCCTTTTCTCCTTGCTATGTTCTTCAGCCCCTCCTACCTGAACTTCTGGTTCAGTTCTGTCTCGATGAGCGACTTCCTCGTGCAGACGCGGTATTTGTTCCTTACATGATGTTCCTTTCCGTTTACTCTCTTGTGTAGCCCCTCCCACTTGATTCTCTTTTTGCGGTTTATCTTGATGACTCTGTAATTGCCCATGCTTAGGTCCATGTTCTTTTATAGACGTCATCCCCTCTTGTGCGTTCTCGAATTCTCCCAGTTTCTGCTTTTTCTGTGGAAGCTCCTGACTCAGTCTGTGTTCCTCAACGGACAGTCTTGCGCGTTTGTGCTTGCCCTGTTCTTCAACAACAACTCTTTGTTCATGTAACTGATGATTGTTTTGCTCATAAACTTCTTCGTGTACCGGTCTCTGTTCCTCAGGTGATATAGTCCCTCTCTGCTTACGTTGTACCTTTGTCCCTCCTACTTGCAACTCAGGTTTAAGTATGTCTTGGTTTTCAACTTCTTCCTGTCTTGGTCTCTCCTCGTCAGATGATGAAGTCCCTTTTTGTGGGCTCTGATCTTCAGCCCCTCCCACATGAGCCCCTAATTGGGGGTTGTCTCGATAACAAAATCCTTGCTGTGTCAGTTTCTGTCCCTCATGTGATGTAGTCCCTTTCTGCTTGGGCGACTCTTTAGCTCCTTCCTCTTGTACCAATGGTTGAGGTTTGTCTCGATGACGAAGTTCCTCCTGTTTAACCCTCTGTTGCTCTTCTGATGGTATCATCGAGACAAGCTTATCACGCCCGATTGAATTTAACGCATCTCTCAAAATCTGAAATCCTTCCCTGCGACTTGTTTGCTTTCTCCACCAAGAAAGCAGCATCTGTAGGCTCATTTCTTGTTCTTGGAAGGTGGTTTGGATTTGCTTGATTTCTGCTTCTGCAAATCCCAGCGATTGTGCCAATTCTTCCCAGGATGATTGAATTTTCGTTGCCAAGTCCCGGAGGAATTGACAATCTCCAGAGCGTTTGTCTGCCAAACAAAACATAAGTTGGAAGTTTAAATGTATCTGATTGAAAGGCAATTAATTGTAGACTTTGGTTAGCGACGTTTATAAATGTCAGTGCTATTTTTTATTGAATTGTTTATCCTTTTAGAAATAAGTGGCAAATGCTGGGAAATTTTGAGACATTACAGCGGAGGAGGCGGTAAAACACATTAACTTAGATCGCTCTTTAACTACAAGTAATTGTACTACAGATACTAATAATGCCAACAAGAAAAGGCTAGAGCATCCATCCTGTTTTCATAATCGCACTTTCAAAGATAATGTTTACCATGAACATTTACCTTTGGGTCCACCACCCAGTAGGCCATCAGTGCACAGACGGAGTGAGATGTTCTCGTCCTGATGAATGCCGCAGTCGTGAAGTGTCAGCAAGTTACAGAGCTGGAAAAAAAAACAATTTTAACGATCCTCATATAACACTGTTGGAAACCAAGGTTTAAAAAAAAAATCTTGGTGGTTGGATAACAAAACACGGGTAAAAATTTATATACATTTTCCCGCAGTGCTTTTTCATCTTAAGACCTAATCAGTGGTGATAAGACCAGCAAACGCTATTGCTAAATCACTATTATACCAGCATCAGAGATAGCACTATTTGTATATACAAAACTGATGTATTCTGAATCCAAAGAGGTTGTCACTAAACCAATAAAGCATGGCCATTAATTCGATGGAATAGTAATTGGTACTTTTTAGCATGGTAAGTTTAAAATATGGAACCTTCCTTACCTCAAAATTACGAAAATTTCTTCGGATGAATAGACGCTGTTGTTGAGGCTGGACACTGATTTTCTCATTTATTATTTGTTTCAAGGCCGAAACAGATGTCTCTGGGTCCATTTGGAGACAAAGCGTCGACGGTTTATGACGGATGTGAAATCTGATGAATACTTGCACATGTCTGAAACTGTCAGAAAGGACGTTTTACATGTTAAGGCTCATTTATGCTTTTCTTGTTATGCTAAATTATTAATTATTTAATTTGTCAATTCTGCAGACCATTTTTTTTCTTGCTTCTATATTAATTGCTAGTTCCTTGCTTCACTGACATTTAGACCGTTTCTTTAGATTCGTCTTTCATGTTCATGATGGTCTAGGTTTCCCTCCATGTCTTTTGGTTGTTGTTGTTGTTAATTTATGATTCATGAATAAAAAGCATGAATTAATAATTGAATTGACATAATAAAGCAAAGGAATGAAGGTAAAGACCATCAACCATTATTGTAACCACTCTCTACAATATTGTTAGAGTGGGAAAATATTGTTTTCCAAGGTAGTTTGATTGTCCACAAAACGCGCGATGCGTAGGTAATTCTTTAAACACGAGGTGCATGACGGATAGCAGCGTTTACTTATGTCTTACCAGATAAGTTGAAGTTTGTCTTGATCACAAGCTTGTTCCTTTTTCAGTTTCTCTTCCGCGGTTGATGCCTCCCCGTTTTGTTTGCTCTCCTCGTCAGCTCCTGTACCTCGACGCCTTTCTGGCTCGGGTCCAGCTGCTTCGTGTCTCGATTTGCTTGCCACTGATGCAAGTTGGAAAACAGAATACATTACAATGTTATTTTTTTCCAATCGTTAAAAAAATGATGTTTCTGTTTTTGTTTTCAATTAACTAGGCGATGTATTTAACATTTCTTATTTGTATAAAGAGTTTTGTAAGAGAACGAGGAACCATATCATCCCAGCCCCGAAAATAGAGCGTCTAATGGCTATTCGAAAATCACTCTTGAATATGAGAAACCTGCTTGCTCACATTTTAGCTCAGCTGGTACATTTTGAGCCAAATCAGTCAACCCGATGGCCTCCAATGCTCGTCTCAGCTTCTGAGCTGCTTCGTCGCGTTCTGTCGTCTTTTTCCACCAAGTGAGTAGCATGTGACGGCTCCCTTCAGTGCTGCCTTCGTTGGAGGTTTGGATGTCTGCAATTTCTGCTTCTTCATATCCCAAGTGTTTAGCCAATTCTTTCCATGATGATTCAGTTTTCGAGGACAAGTCCTGGAGGTACTCTTCATCAATGTTGGTTTTATCTGCCAAGACATTTAAACTTCAGTTAAACATTTTGAAATCCAACCATCACTGTATCAAATATCAACGGCAATTACAACAAAAAGAGACTCTTGATCCTTATTTAAAACCCAAATTTAGATTGTTTATTTACCTTTGTTTCTAACCTCTATAATTTACCTTTTGGCTCCTCGTCATCATTTGGGTCTTCTATTGACAGCCGGAGAGAGATGATTTCATCCTTGTCGACACCATTCTCCTCAAGTGTGAGCAAGTCACAGAGCTTACAAAGTAATTTATATCAGAAAATAAGTTACATCATCAGAAAAAAAGAAAGAAAGGAATTTAGTTGTGCGTTGTTCAAACATCTAACAAATGACGTTCCTTTAAGCCTGAGTTGGAAGAAATGGGTTGTGATGGGGGATCTCATAGACAAACAACTAAAGATATCAACGTGAAAATGTGAGATTTTGCAGTCAACATTACCATTTCTAAAATCCGACAATGCGAAATACTAGGTTTGGATATTTCAAATTGAACCAAGTATTATAAATTAATGTATAACTACCTGGAAGTTTCTCTTGATGTACAGACGCTGATATCGTGCCTCCACACCGATCTTCTTCTGGATTGTTTCTTTGAGAGATGAAACGGATGTCTCGGGATGGAGTTCAAAATAAAGTGTCTTGGGTTTATGCGAGAGGGGAGTCCTGACAAAGACCTGCAGTTTCTGTTTTTCGTCTTTGGTATTACTGTGAAAATAGGGGAGAAAATGTATGTAGTTTAAGAAATGCATTAGTTCACAAAAGAACAAGATCAGTGCACAATCTGTGTGGAAACTACACTCGAATTAGAGGCTATCGTCACTTTCGTGAGTCTAATAAAAGTGTTGCTCAAGTTCGCTCAACTTTTAAAAAGTATCTGTAAAGAGTAAAAGATTAAATGTTTTTTTCGAAATCGAGATAACCTTAAGCTTCATCTTAATTGAATGAACGTCGTTTTTTTTTTACCTCTGACTTTCATATTTAATCCATCGTGTCGTTGGTATCGTCTTTGCACAGCAATCATCCGAAGACGTTTCCCTGTAATGCAGTACAGACAGGAAAGCTTGTTTCCTCCTTGGTTTGACTTTAGTCTTCCTGCTGATGAGTTTGGTGTTGGAATGGTCGTACACGACGGCAGTTGCTTTAATGTATGCATCCAATTGCTGGATGGTCTTTCGAGGCATCTTGGTAGTAATCAGGTCGAATTAAAGTACGGTTACTGAAAGAACAAAATCAAAATAACGAAAAGTCGTTGTTAAAACTAATGCAAAACCATCAGCCTATCAAACTAATAGACGCCATGGATAAAGTCATCATCTGTAGTCACGTGATAATCTCCAGTGGCCTATCAACAGAAACCTTTAGACTTCTTTAGGACTCTAAAACCACTTCTCATACCAGATTTATTAAGTTGATGTGACAAATAATTTTACAGACTGACATTCTTCTGAAACCAAATCTCATTTTTGTTTTTTGTTTATGTTTTGACAATAACGACATTGAGCATTGAACTATGATGTCCAAAACAACTACTGAGGGACCCTAAGAGAAATTACCAACCCCATCAGTTTGACCGTCTGAACATAAATTAAAAAAAGAAATCGACTTTGTGATTCGTTTCTTTTAAATTATTAATAGATTAGAACAAAATGCATTTGATTTGTTATTTACTTGTGGTTGACATTTTCAAAGTTCTGCATTTAATGGAGTATTTGTAGTCGCGGATTTACTGGGGAAAAAATCCCGTTACCTTCCCGCCCACGGCAAAGAAAATGTGTTGTGGGAATTTTTCTATTAAAACTACCAGAAAAAAAAGAAGAAAAGAAGAAAAGCAACTACCCTCATATTTTACACGAGGGCGCACTCTTAAAAGAAAAAGAGATAATGTATGAAATAAATTATGTATACTTTCACACTAGGAAATAGTGTAAAAGTATGTTTGCTTTATTATTTTTGTAAGTGCTTCATGCTGTTCCTGTCAAGTGAGGGTGCCATTTAATGTGATGCCACAAAGCACATTTTTTGGTTCAGGGATTTATGTATACAAAACATAAACCAAAACGGTTGCTTATTAAAATACCGAGGTGTCATACTGTGAAATATTGCGGGCTTCCAGTGGTGCTGAAACAGACATGTCACAATTAAAGGTCATGCTCAAATGCCTTGTGTCTAATGTATTTGAAACCTCGTTTTCAAAAGTAGTGCTTGTCTGCGTGACATCCTGACCACGAAGTTGCCTCTTTGCCAAATGACATCACGGCTTCGCTCATAAATATGCAAACTGGGCATATTGTACAAATCATCCCCCACAAAAAAATAATAATCAATAAAATAAATCAGACAAACCTACAAGTTTATAAAACAGACAAGTTTATTACAAACGGAAGAATTTCTATTCATCACATGAATGATGAATGCATTTGAATAATAATAGGGCCAAAAAAAAGAATAGTTCTGCTTCCGGTTACCCGACCGACCCTATTTTATGCTGCGACCCTAAATTTTTTATCGGCAATTCCCCCCCAAAAAGAAAAAAAGATTGAATAAATAAAAATAAAATGTTGTCGTCTTTTCTGTCTTCACAAAATACCTCTCAAACCCTTTTGCATCAAAAAATGCTTGTATTTATTTGTTTTCTTACTTACATTCGCTTTTTTTCAAAAGAAAA